TTGCGAGCTCTATCCAACCGTGTATAAATCAAATAGAAACAAATTCTGCTCTACTTTTGTATTTGGAGCACCTTATTTTAAATCTATTAATTTTAATAAAGTCTGTAAACGATATATATATGTTATATGTTATACTACTAGTAGTTAGTTAATTGAGAAAATTTCACTCTAAAGGTTTTCTTTAAATCGAAAGATAGAAAACTAGTGTAGTCTGATGATGAAGAATTATTTAACCAATCCCTTTGACACAGACATATCATTTGTTGTTTGAATAAAAACCAAAAAAACTATGTCTTATTCTAATCCTTTTGATATATTCTTAATTTTGAATTCTATAGATAACCTAATCGACGTTTGACTTCTGAACGTCTTCTCGAGACAGCAATCAAAAAAATCAAAAAGATATTGCATTCACAAGTTTGTTATCGCAAGGAGGTTAAAACGTTAAAACAATGACACGATATTAATTTAACGTATGTATCAACAACAACTGTCGCTTTTTAGTTTTAAAATTCATATTATTCTAATATGTCCACATCATGGACAATTTTGTTTGTTCATCAACTGAATTCCAAAAAAATCGAATAATAATATTCTAAGAGAAACTATTAAATTTCTTTAATTATTTTCTCTACACCGTTTTTGTTTTTTGATCAAAAATGATGTTAAAAGAGAGTGTTTTATAAAATGTAATGATCATACCTTCTTTGATACAATAAGGATCATTGTCCGACGGACCCCACCACATATCGCCTTGACAATGGCGAACTTTAACACCTTCCAATATGTACCCGGTGTCACATTCAAACGTAGCTCTCGAGCCAAATTTGTTTATATTTGAATAAATAATTCGACCATGATCTGGTACTTTCAAATATGGACATGTTACACCTACACATTAAAAAAAATCAAACGTTTTCGCTATATCTTTGAGAAGTAAAGTAGAATCACATACCACGTTTAACACATGACAAACCACAGTCGAAGTCACACATACACGATCTATAATGACTTCGACAATCGCTGTCATCGAAACATGATTTGAAACATTGTCTATATCTTGTTGCGTCTCGTTTTCGTGGACAAAATGAGAGATCACGAATCCAGTAAGCTAAATAATAAAAAAATATTTCATCATTTCACCTAAACAAGACTTGTAAATAATAGCAATATATTTCGACAAGACGTAATTGTTCTGTTTTAAAAGCCATATCATGAATATATGAACTAGGTGAACCATTTAACTTCGGACATTTTTAGACAGACAAACAAGTAGATATACTATCGTTCGACTGTAGTGCTATATATATTATAGATACTGTTCTTCGTTAATCTTGATTCAAAAGTGAATATAAACAATCACTATTGTGAACATTTTTATTTTAAATTATACATTTAAAATACGCATTCAAATGTCAAAAACTCCTTTTCCTATCTCAAATGGATATTTATTATTTTAACCTTTCTCTCTAGGGCAAATAGTTATACGCGTCCCAAAGTTTGTTATAATGGAACCTTAAATAAGATCGGTCATGAATGAACGCACATTACTATTGTAATAATAACAATAACTTTGTTTTTTTTTAATAATCAATGAATACGTATTCTTTTTAAAATGAACAATTCAAATCTTAAAGTATGGATGATATATTTCACTATATGTTCTTCATCTTTTTCAGAGAAAGAACGTCTCTAAATTGTATACAATAGAATAAAGACCTGTTGTATTAACAACAGAACATAATTTCAAAATTTTATTAGTAAAATAAAACTCCAAATAAATCTTATTACCTTGACTATTGATAATAAATGTGAAATATATAGATAGAACAACTAACAATATATTTTTTTCCATTTGTGATCAAATCCGATTTTATACAAATTATCCATTCCAATTACAGTTAAATTCGATTCATTGTCATCCTCATCATAATACACACTAATCTGACTTCTTTAGCCTGTTTTATCTGAAAAATGAATACATTATGTTATCAAATAGAAAGAAAAACGAATCGAGCACCAATTGTTATTTTGTAAGCAAATTAATTAAGAAAAAATATGGATTCTTTCGTCCTATAAGTAACTAGATTTTTTTAGTAAAAGAAAAAATAAGGTGATGCAGCTCTCTATTACAAACCAAATGCAAAGTATTCCGAGGTTTTCTTAAAAGGCGAATATTGTCAATTTTTCATTCAGAAGAGGGCTAATGATTACATTCAAAGTTTCAGATTTAAGCATTTAAAACAACAGATTGTTCTTATTTAAATCAAAAGTTATGCAGTTTTCAATAGATAATAGTCATAGTGATAAAGAGCATCTACATGTCGATAGAAATGAATATGCTTTACCGTGAATAAATAAGCAGGGTGCTCATCATTGCTAATGTATAAGGTAAGTTCATCATTACAGGAAAAAATCCTTTGTCAATTAGTAATGGTTGTTTCAGACGCTGATTTCCATTTGTGTGTAGCCAAAACAGCATTAACTATTGGTGAAATTGATGAGTTTGAAGATGATCTTCATCATGTAAGACGCGTACCGTATAAGTATATTTTGAGGTTTGTGAAAAAAAGGACGTTTGTTACGTCAACGCTTTTCTGTAATATTAAGTCTTAATTGTACTATTTTTTTCCCCGTTGATTACGTATAGAACAAAAGACTCCATATTTTTTTCTTAATTGAAATGAAAAGTGCTTAGACTATAACGATCATTCTCTATGCAAAATTCAGTTCATGAGTCGAGGCTGTTTGTGTTTGTTTTAGTCAAATTTCAATTAGCTTACAAACCGGGAATATATCATCAGACAGATAACTACAGACTTGACATATTCCGAGAAAATTGTCGCTACAAAATGCTTTCAAACGAGAGCTCAAGTAGATCTTAAACGCATTCAAAACAGTCTGTTTGAAACTATGAAAATAGTGGTACCTAACAAAAAGTGTTAGAAATTGCGACTCTCAACATGGTCAACTAATCCTATTCCATTTTAAATTATGAAAAAAAAGAATTTTACTGTATAAAGATTTTAGCCTGTGAAGTTCCGCCTGTTTCTACAGTAACTCGTTCATATTAAATTACAATTTACTGTATTAAGTCAATAAAGATTTCTCTATTTAGTTCTACTATAAATTCGTTAGATTCGGGAAAATTCTTGTGTGATAAGTACCATTAGAAATTATTCCTATAGTTCAAGATGTTGTACTTTTCATTTTTTTAAGCTATCAGTCACCTTAAAACTTCTAATGGGAAACGATTAGATAATAGAAATCTGTCCTTTAAAAAAAAGAGTCGAACATCACCCGCAATGTTTATGTACATAGATTTTTTCGAGTAGACGATTTATTTTCCGTTGATTAATTTTTATTTTCATTGTTGTTTTTTTCAAGAAAAAATATAGTTTGCAGAGGATTTACATTCTACTGATTACATAAAAATATACTAAATTAATTAGCCACCATCTTGTATAGGGATGTACTTTCCACTGACGAAAAGAATTTGAGCAAATGAATATTTATTGCAATAATCAATTAATTTTTCCAACGGAACAAACATCCATCAGTAATGGAACGATTAACTAAATTTTTAATTAGAAACTAGCAGTGCTCAATACTTTGGGAACTAGAATACTCATCAGTATGATCATTTTTGTAAAAATGTATATAAAGGTAGAGATACACAACTCTCTTCTCACGCCAGTAATATTCGGAAAAATGTCCGAACTTCAGTTAGTTCTCATATTATGAATGATTACAATTGATTTTGAATTATGTGTTTCTAATGTATTTACTAAATATTATCCAATTGTTATTGTTACAGGTTGTTCATTTCACTATGAACAAAGTCTATTTCGTACGTTTGTTGATCTTAGTTTAAAAACAGCATACAACAATGATGAAAACCTTCGTGGTTGGTTCAGATCTTTCGCAGCATTATCGTCATCAAAAGATATGTTATGGGGCTTACAGTGTCTAATTCGTACTCCACTAGATTATCCATGCATTAAAGGATTTCTTGATTATTATCATAGTCAGTCGATTTCCATCAGATATTATTCCAACTATTATCATAATATAACACTGCGAACAATTAATTATTTGAAAGGTCAATGTTCTCGAATGAAAAAACATGTTAATTCTTCACATCCAAACAATTACATTGTTATTGATTTATTACAAAAGGAACAATCATTAGCATCGACTACAAGAGTACGAGATAATATGACGGAAGCTCCAACTCGAAAATGTCATCATAACAGATGAATGAAATTGTTGCAACATTATGATCAGAGTCATATTGATATTTCAGCTTTCTTGAAGGCTTTCAACGTCCATCAAAACGTTGAAGAATCATTTTTTTTCTCGTTTTTCCTGTTATTTGTATGTATTAAATTAGGAATTCCGTTCTAATAATAGATTCATTGTCGCAATGAATATTCATTTACTCATTTCTTTTCGTCTAAATAAGCAGTGGAAAGTACATTCCTATACAAGTAGATGGCTAATTAATTTACCATAGTTTTATGTAATCAATGGAAAGTAAATCCACAAAAAGTAAATCGTGTAAATCAGATTTTTTATTTCGTATAGTTCATCATTGAAAATGTGTTTTGTTTTAGATATTTTAAACACTAGTTTAGTTAGTAGATATTTAAAAACTGTTATGAAATTAATTACACTTACTTTGACATTTCTCTATACTACTATAGACAATAAACATAAATTAAAACATGTTTTCTTATTTTTTAGAAGAGAAACAAAGCAAGTATGAACAGAAAGAAGTATAAAAATTAGTAACATCATTATCGTTAAACAAGACAGTTAAAAGACTATTTTCTGCTTGTCATATCATTAGTGATTAACTGTCATAGACGAATGATGTGATTCGATGATGTGATCTTTGGATCAACTACTTACTTAAAACAGACGATATTTCTATTATCCAAATACATTTAGAAAACATACATCATAATAGATATCCATTATTACTAGTGAAAATACATGATTTTAATACTTTTAACTATTATTTACTAATCATGAACATGAGTTCAACTACAAATTTAAGTAAGAATATCAGTAATACCTTTTGCTTTTCGTTTCAAAAAATTTAAATGTCAGATATTGAATGAAATGTGTTATATTGTTCAATGAAAATAGTGAACTTACTACTATCGTGTAAATTGATCGTTTCGCATCAAATATTAAATAATTGTCTTAAACAAGAAAAAGTCCGATTAACAAAAAAGGAACGAACTTTTTTTTCTAGAGAATATAATTTGTGTATGAAATGTTCAACTGTGGAAGAAGAAGGAGAAGAGAAAAAGTAGAAACATTGTTCATATGTGTCAGTTCTCATAGAAAAAAGGCTACTATGCGCCTTTTTAAAAAGAGAACACTATATACCATGTCCATTATGATAAAAGTACACAAGAAAGAAAACACAACAAAATTATGCCTACATTCTCACACTAGAATAGAACGTTTTTTGAAATTTTAGCCTAAATTTATCGATGAAAATTACGTAATTCAAGAGGTAATCTTCCTTTTTTTTTTTGAACTGGTAAAACTTTTGTAAAAACAAAAGAGAAAAGAAACGGGAGTAAAAAGGATGTTCTAGAAGAATTATAAAAATCATTCAATTGTTTTTTCTTCACAGAATAAAATCAATCTATGTCAATTTGTTTCGAATCTTCAATAGCAAATAACGGAAAAAATGATAATTTAATTTATCTCTACACAAATTTTTATAATAAATATTCAATTATCCAAAATATCTTGTCTTATATCTTGTTGAACTTTTTATCATACACAAATGACACATCAACAATATGATAGATGTTTATGGAGAAAATGATATTGAATCCTTTTAAATTATATTGTCTTTCTTAACTTATTTGAACGGATAAGAAAGTATGAGATAATGAGATGAATAAGAAGAAATTAGACTTGATAAATATACCATCTTTGATTTCAACTAAACTCACTCTCATCTTATCTATTAATCTTAACAATATTTTGTTTTTTGAATATATTAGATAATAATTCTACTGTTCATACAACAAAGAAGATCATTGTAGAGAACGATAATGTCCTATGAACAATTATTAATGTTGTCTTAATGTGTATAACTCTTGCCTTCAGGTATAACACTAGTGTTCATTAATAACGATTATAATTATTCTTTCTTTTGAACAAAGGACTGTATAATTACATAATGGCGAGAAAAGTCAACAATATACATATATAATCGACTAATTATATATACTTGAATTAATTTTCGATTTTCGATAATGAATGTTTATTTTATACTAGATAATATTCATATAGAATAGCATTATCCTCTTTTATTATACCACAAAGTCGTTGTTATAAGAGAATACAATGATGTATGTTTAGTACAATACTTGAACATTCACTGATGTACATTGTTATTAGCTTCTATATGTACATATACATATGAATGTTCAAAACATTTATTTTCTCTAGTATCTTACGTGTAATATTATTCTTTCAGAATAGCTTCATTGCACAATTTTTTTCTCTTACTTCTTATCGTGAATCTTTTTTACGAAACATAAATTTATTTAAATACCACTTTTTTTATATCATAATGATTGAGAACTATGATTTTACATTTTTCAGTATACAAGGAGAATAATATACTTGGTTAAAATAACTAACTATTTTTGTACTTTATTTTATATCAATAAATTAATACAGAGTCTCATTTTCTTCCGCATTTTAAATTGTCTTATCATAATGTATTGGAAAATAAAAGGTGCTAAGATTCAAGTAAGTGTCTGGATGGCTTCACTTCTCAAACAACTCATCTATTAAATGTTTTTTAATAGTGAAACCAAATAGTATAGTTAATTGAATACATTTTATTCAATCAAGGTTAGAGATTGAACAAATAATTATTATATTTTAGTTATTTAACAACGAATGAATTCTTATAAATTGAAATATTTGGTTAAATATTCTTTTAACACAGTTATATAATTGTTTTTTAACATGAAGTTATACAAACGTATATTCGTTTTATAGATGAGTCATTTTTATGGTATGAGAAAAAACATCGAATAATATTATTCTTATCTTTATACATTAGCGTTGTCTTTTAAAGTAATATAAAACATGTTCTAAACTAAAAAAATTGACGAATGTCAAGGACAAAAAAATATCATTATAAACTTCTAAATACGCATTAAAATTAGGAAAGATATGATAATAGTCCATATATATATATTAATAAATGTCGCTTCATCATTTGTAAAGCAGTAGATAGGCGCCCATCGCAGTGTTTTATATAGATTTCATTTTCAGGAGGGGCAAATGAATGTTTCGGGAGACTGTCTGACGCTTTTCTCTATGTTAATAATTTTCGATGGGTCGAACTCAACTTCCGATGGGGCGTCGCCTAACCGGTCTGCTCACTAGTTCCGAACGCAATACAAATCGACAAAAGCATGATGTACTTGTCTTTAGTTACAAATCTATACGTAAGATACGAAAAACTACTGTTCAAAAAGAGAGAGATAACCTTTGTAATAGTTTACTTGTTCTATCTCTCTGTTCGTGTTTTTTTGAGAGGATTTTGAAAACAAGAAAATCTCGTTGATTATTCTGGAATTATAAGCCATCGATACAGAACAAAGTGTACTCAGAACTCACTTCAGCCAAGAGACGATACTTCACCGCTTCACAAGAAGCGAAATCTCATGTAATAGGTAAAGAAGCCTAACTCACAACTGGTAGCGTGATAGCATTCCAACAGAAAGAACGAGACTGTGCTCAATTAGTAGTGAATCTTCGAGATCAAGAACAAAAACTAGAACAAAACTGCATTTAGAACTACTGTTTTTAAAAAAACTACATTTTTAGCTGCAACTTCAACTAAAATTACAACAACAACAGGAAAAGCCAAATATTTCGATATAGTTGACAATAGCCGTTTTTTCAAGCATCAGTTGCTGATTCGACAATAATACTGACTATTATCGAAGCAGGGGCTGATAAGACGAAAATGGTAAGTTATCGTCAATAGTTGCAGGTAAATTGCTCGTTATAATGTAATTGACGTGTACGAACCACTATTTATAACTTTCAGAGGACAAATTATTTTTTTCTTTCAAATGTCAGAATTTATAGTGCAGAATGCAAAGATGTTTTTTGCGAACGCGGTAATGTTGCAAGTTGCCTTAACAAAAATAATATGTATAGCATAGAAAGAATAAAAAAACACAAATTACAGGAGTGGAACAGGTCGGACAAGCAGCAGAGCTTAGACAACACATGTGTCTGTATGTTCCCTCATTAGAAAATAAAAGAAAAAGGAATCTGTTACTTTCAATATTACATTACCGACGAAAGTAATACTGAAAGGTATTCGTGTTGCTGGTAACAGTATTCAGTGCTTTCTCATTAATAGTAATACTTTTCAGTATTATTGTTACTAGTAATAGGAATATTTATATAATCAGTATTATTTTTCAGTAAAGTAATATAAGAAAAAAATTTTTTTCAAACAAATATTCAAAAGATTTTCTAACTTCTTCTTGAATGAAAAGTGAATTTTTTTATGCACAAGAAAAAAATTTTCAACTATTTTCCTATTTGTTTGCTTTTTTCGCACATTTCGTGGATTCTTCCATTCATACAATGCTATCTGATTATTTCGAAACAGACTTGAAACGAGACATCGCTGAACATTGACATACGTGTACAATTTGACAACAATCATCGAATATGTCACTCTATGAACTTACATGTGAACGTAGTATGGCGCAGAGAGCTACCATCTTTATTCAAAAGTGGTTACTCATTATTCAATAAAATCTAAATACGCTTTTGACAAATTTATTTTTTGAACTTTTCAATATTCTGATGGAGTCATTAATCTGGAAACTTCTCAAAAAGTTTTCCTTCACGTAAATACCTCATTTTTCATCCAAGAACACACTAAGAAATCTTTTGAATATTCCTTTGAAAATTATTATTTTTTTTGTTTTACTTTACTGAAAAGTAATACTAATTTTATGAATATTTCTATTACCAGCAACACTAATACTGAAAAATACTGAAAAGTATTAGTGTTACTGATAGGAATACTTTTCAGTATTATTGTTACTAATAATAGGAATACATGGAATATTACTGTTACCGGTAATAGGAATATATACAATCTTTGTATTACTGGTAACAGTAATGTGTCACCCCTATTTAGTAACATACACTTATTCCTTAGTAGATTACATAGTTTCCTATGCATAGAAAAAAGCAAGGACAAATAAGTAACATCATTATTATATGCCGGATGAAGAAATCCTTAAATCAGGTCGAAATGAGTCCCGGTAGCTTATTAACTTATTAGTTTTGTTCTGAGTTGTAAAACAAGTCTTGTAATTTATTATTATGGGATAAACAATATCAGGGCAATTATAAATATATAGACAGTTAAAATTATTTTTTGTAATTTTTACAAAAATAAATCAAATTAATCAATAATATATAATGGAAAACAATTAATACATTAACACATTGTAAAATTAAATTAAAATAAACGGAAAATAATGCTAAGATTTTAGCAAAAAACCAAAAAATCCCTGTCAGAATTATTTTTACCAATAAAACAATGGTTTACGATCCAATTGAGCTATCATCTGTAAACTATCAATGATAGTACAAATATCATGATGAAAATTTTTCGGAAGAAGTGACGTCGATACTGATTTAATTTTTTGAACATCACTCAATATATCTAAATTAGAAAATACTTGTTTAAAAATTAGTGGGTATCATCAAAATTTAAAAAAGTGAGTTCTTTTTTAGCAAGTTTTTTTATATGGATAAAAAATAAAAGAAAATTTTCATTACGTTCAAGAGTACGATATGAATTTTTACTATTAGAGAAAAGCGAGATCTTGCTAATCTGGAAAACTGAAGAACTCATTTTAACTTTTAGTTTTAAGGTCTACATTTTCAAGCACGTATTACACATGAATGTAGTGTATATAGATATACTCAATGAATTCATTCAAACCTGTATTATTTTTTAACCAATGATAATTATCATAGATTCCGTATTCATTAATGAAATAAAACGTGATTAATGGATGATAATTAAATTGAAATTTTAATCCGGTTAAATGTTGTTTTATATTTGAATATCTTATTTCTAAATTTCTTCTTTCATTTTGATCTTTTTCTTTTCGTATTAAAGATTCTAAATAACGAAGACTATAACCATAAAATCGTTGATGACAAGGGAATATCATTATCAAAATTCTTCTTTCTAATTGATAACATATTTCTCCAAGTAAACGTGTATCTATAACAAATTAAAAGTCACTATTATCTCGTCTCTAACAACTATAATAAAAAAAAATACTTGCCAAGCTCGTAATTTTTAGTTAATTTTGATGTCTCATTATTATTCTGATCAGTATGAATCATTTTGTGATTTTTCTTTGATAGTGAAAGAGATGATGATTTTTCATGCAATGATTTGAGTTGTTGAGTTAGAAATTGAATTTCATTTGTAATTTTTTGTAATTTAAATAAGTTTCTTTTTGTTTCTATTGTTAATATTTTAGATTTAGATTCACTGATTGTATTACTCATTTGTTCTAAGCTACTATTTCCTAATATTTTTTGTACACGATCTTTAAGACATGATTCTGTAAGTGGACATGTTACATTTATCCCATTCATCTCATCGTTTATTAAGTCTATACGATTATTAATATCATCTATACATACTAATTCACAAACATTTCTATTAGCAGTTGATTGAACAAGATTTACCGATGATTCTTCTGTAGCAGATGGTTGACAAATAGTCAGTATTTTTGATTTCTGTATATTTTGTTTTGAGTCCGGTTGCAGTGAAGAAAGACTATGTTGTCTAAACGAAGGAAACAAAAACTTACAGTATCAAACAGTTAAAATACCTTTTCAAGAAAGGACTTTTCTAAAAATGAACGATAGTTTTATAATCTAAGGAGTCTGAATGACTCTAGATTGTAACAAAACCTGAAGTAGCATAGTTCTCTGTATGACAGCTTTTTCTTCTCATGCGTCATTAGAGCGCTACAATAAGCATATGGTCTTTCTGTAATAAATCTAAATAAAAAAAATTTCTATAAAATCTTTTCTATCCTATACATTAAGAGAGCTTTACCTTGCACAGCTCTATAGTATTGTCGCATGTTGAACAAAGCGAAATTACAGTCCTTTGGCGTCACATTCATTGTGGAAAGTTTTGATTTTTTCAGCCTTGTAGAATAACGTTTAAAACTTCGTTCTAGGCTTAAAAGACGCCGAATTTTCTCTAGTATTTAATGATATGCTTCGGTTAGAATATATCGCTATACTTTCTTTAAAACTTCCGAGATAGTAAACTCCGTCAAAATATTACTATCACCTGAAAAGTAGCCGGTTTTGTAAGCGGGTTTTTCTATCCACGCATAGTCATAAAATAGTCGTACCTAAACATTCAGTTTTCCAAGGTCTACAAAATTTTATGAATGAGATAAAATAATAACATTTATTTTTGTTACAAAATTGAGTCAATTTAATTCTAGTTTTCTATAAGAAAACAAAATGATTTAAAATTCAGCACACATATTTTTTGTATAAGAGTTAAAAGATAAGTCCAGTTGTAAAAATTTTTTTTTATAGACCAGAGGATCAGAAATTCGTTGCACTTGCTGTCGAGATGCTCGGTTCAAGAAGCCATAGTCTTATAGCTGAAAAAATCCATTTCAAATAAAAACAGGCTAGTTTTGAGGGTAGTTTACTATTTCGGAAGTTTTAAAGAAAGTATAAAGTTATACTCTAACCGAAGCATATCATTAAATACTAGATAAAAGTCTGCGTCTTTTAAGCATAGAACACGTTATTCTACAAGGTTGAAAAAATCAAAATTTTTCATCCTGAATTTAACGCCACAGGCCTGTAATACGAGTCTAATTTCTTTCTTAAAAAAGCGCTAGAAAAGATACAATCATCGGGTAAATGTCTAAACAATAAAAACACTATCCTGCCAAGAGTAAAATTTTACAATGAACTCAATACCAATAGTTCGCGCCAAAATTCTCACCTAGCAAAACATTTACATATTCCGTTGATTGGACTCTTAGTAGATTGCAATGTTTTTCTCTGAGAAGGCGCACGATTTGATTTCTGGTCTCTGTAAAGACTGACTAAGTTTGTCTTCGTTTGAGTTGTCCTTGTTGTCGTGTTATTGTCTATCTCTTCTATATCTTGTGACGCTAATGAATCCTTGCTTCGAATCGAATTGAAATTTTTGCAAGGTATCCAATCGATCTTAACATTTGATTGTTTGAACATTGCGTATATATGACATTATGTGAGTCGAGCCACTTTTCTTCTTTTTAATGTATGCATATCACAGTGTATATATAACAGTAATTACAGTAACGATAACATTTGATAGGTAGCACCAAAGTTGAACTTCTTGTTGGACTGTTTTGTTTGAATCGCTTGATAGTTACGCTACTGTGAGCGAGATCTAAGGCTCAACATTTGGTTTAAGTAAAAATAGGCAAAAACAGTAAACAAGTGTTGCATAGATAACTGTGTCTATGTAGTTCAGTATATATATTTATAATCTCAAGTATCACTGTCAGTTTGCACTGCTAACTTATACCATTCTCATCTTAGCTTACTATAATACGTTGGCCAATCAAAAAATTAGAAAATCAATATCCTAAATTAAATGATCGATCGATTTTCTTGCGATATTTTCCGAATAACTGCTGATTTTCCAAGTATACTGAAATATTTTTATAAGATTCTCTCAGAAGAATTTTATTCTATGGGTTCTGGTGCTTTTTTATACCAGTCGGAGTGAAACGCAAAGATTTTGCCTTATTGTAAGAGATTAGTCTCAACAAATCTCATACCTTTGCCCTCTACATTGTTTACCACTCACCTTACGATCGAGTTATTAAGAAATTTACTGATATCTTATGAGTGTCTCATTGAACTGTGGGATGCTTTCGGAATCAAATGTATTTTATTCTTGTTTTCTCTTTTAGACATGAGTTTATTTATCCGATGTATTCATTTTTTTCGTATTAAGCACTGTTTTGATTAGAAGATGTGAAAATAATGAATCTTGTTCATCAAGCCAATAAACCGTCCGACAGTTTAGCGCTTGTTCGTGGTATGTTACACCTCGTTGTATTGCTCCACGAAATATCATCATATTGCTTGAGATCAATGAGCCATTAACCTGCAGTAGTTATTGTAGCGCTTTCTCTCGAAAGCTCAGAGAAAGTTTTGCAGTCGATACACGTTTTCTTGTATGAGTAACAGAGCTTTTATTATTGACTCATTGTAAAGGAAGATTGCATCAATTTGTATAGCTTTTCTGGAGGCTGTTAAACAACTTTTAAACTGTTTTCCCTAAGTGACTCGTGGCATCGGATATACACAATAGAAACTACAGGCGTTTTTCTAGAGGATGAGTGCTCTGAATAGTTTTCCAATAAGTTAAGTTTTTTTTTTCTTGTAGGAGAAAGTGCCCTTGTCACTGAGGGTAGTTTTCCAATGATTAAATTGTTCGCACCGCGAAGTACGGAATCCGTTGAAAATAAACAAAACAACATCCAACGGGTAAGCTGATTTTTTATTTAGCGTTGTAAACTTCGATGCATAAATATTTTGGCATATGTCTAATCTCTTTTGTTTGTTTCAGACATTTTCTCAACAAGATATAACTGGAGTAACAAATTCTCTAGAACGAAGTGGTATTGAACCACTTGATTTTCAACCAACTACTCAGATAAAAACCACAACAACGACAAGCAATAATAACGTTACATATTCTTCTCATACCAGCATCAATAGTACGGCAATTCCTACTAGCCAAACTGTTCCAAATTCAAATAACAACAATAATTCGAGTGCCGTAAATAATAATAGCTTGTTACCAACAGCAAATAGTATTATTTCACTGGAGAAAAAATCCATCAAAAAAGTTGCCACACCCCTCGATAGACGACGAAAACGTCTACAAAAAATTGAAGATAGTGAAACAGGTACCAAAGAGCTGAATAGACGATTTCTATCGATAGATATTTATTTAAGTTTGTTCTGTTTCCAGCGAGGAATCCAAAACGAAGAAAAAACGATACGACAAATAATACTGACAAGAAACAAACCGCTATGACTGTATCTGACTCAACTGCTCGAGTAAGTGCGCCGAAATATAGGAATATTTATCATGATACCCATCTTTCTTTGTTTAGAATGCTTCTAAAAATGATTTCTCTCCAGTTTCTTCTATACAAAGTGATTCTTGTTCAAATTCAAATCACACATCTGAATCAAGTCTTTCATTAGCAACAACAAAACAAGTTCAAGTAAGGGTTGCTAAATGGTTAATTTTATTCTGAATAGCGAAGTGCTTTATTCATTTTTATCAGACCGAAATCACAGCACTAAACGTATCAACAATTTTGACTCCCGGTGACATCGAAGCGAAGAACAGTCAAATTCAAACACTTTCAAGAGTAAGAAATGATTGAACTTTCTTCATTAATTCATGAAACACCCTATACTTTTCTTTTTCAAGGACAAAGATGAACTCCGACGCCAATTACGTGACGTACAACGTGATCTAGAAAAACAAGCAAGTGTTTTACAAAAATGTTTAGCTGTGAATAAAAAGCTATTGATCGAAAAAGTAGGAATTTGTTACTTAGTTGAAATTAGTACTAGTACATGTACTTATTTATATTTCTAGTCAACATTGGAACGTAAACAAGCAAGACAAAAATGTATGGAAAATCGTTTACGTTTGGGTCAGTTTGTTACACAACGTCAAGGTGCTACATTTGTTGAAAACTGGGTCGATGGTAGTGCATTCACAGATCTTGTCAAGTAAGTTATCATTATAGAAATACAGATGACGAATTCAACGTGTACTTTCTTTTTCTTTTTGAATAGACAACAAGAATTGATCCAACGTGCTAGGGAAGAACTCGAACGTGAAAGACGGTCATTACAAAAACGTCGACCAAATTTTGAAATGAAAGAAAAACCTGTCAAAACATATACTAGAGCAAAAAGTAAAGATAGAGGCGAACATGATCAAAATAGTAACGATGGAACAAAATTAAATGATAAATCGTACGTAATGTTCATAAGACTTTCTTACGTTGATAATTAGCAATTGCAGCTAATCTCTTAGAAGCTAATCTCATCGACTCATTTGCTTTAGAAGATCAATAGTGACTGATTGGTATGAGCAAGATGAAATTTTACGTTTAAGACAAGCATCATTGAAAAAAGAAGAAACAGATTTACAGATTGAATATGAAAAACTTGAACGAGAAAGAAATTTACATATAAGAGAATTGAAACGAATATACAATGAAGATCACTCCAGGTTAGATTTGTTAAGTTGTATTTATAAGGTATATGTAACAACATTTTTTTTAACGAAAATTCCATCGTTTTCTCCTGCGCCTCTGTTCGGAGCTTAGCACACATAAGCCATTGTTGCCATGAAAGAAAGTTCTGACTGACGATTTGTTGTTGTTTACATTAATACGACTCGCTAATATCAATGGCGATTGTGATAAAATATTTTTGGAATATAGATCGATATGATCAACAGTATCATCCACAAAAGCGTTTTTAATTTTTTATACAAATTTACTGATAGTTTATAGTTGAATTGGGTTTTATGAACGATATTTAATGGATAGATGATAACTTCTTGGAATAACAGTAGAGAATAAATAAGTAATTAAATAAGTAAATAGGAATTAAAAATGTATTTTGTAGCAGTTTCACAATAAGTCTTAAATTAAGGATTTTTATCGTTGGTCTGTATGTCTTTCAAACTTTTTAATTTGACCAAAACACTTTTGGCGTTTTTGAGTGCTGTTTCTAAGGCACTATTTGTTCTTTCATTTAGATTTCAAGATCATCCTGTCTTAAATGATCGTTATTTGCTGTTGACATTAATCGGAAAAGGAGGCTTTAGTGAAGTTCACAAAGTAAGGTTATACTGCCACGTTTTGTAACCATAAAGCATGATGTTTATATTTGTTTTCTTAGGCATTTTGTTTGAAAGAACAACGTTATGTAGCTGTTAAAGTACATCAGTTGAATAAAGAATGGAAAGAAGAGAAAAAAGCTAACTATATCAAGTATGTATTATTATTGGAAAAAAGCTCAGCGAACTTTGCATTTTACTTTTGTGTTTGTACTTATAGGCATGCACTGAGGGAGTGTGATATTCTCAAGACATTAGATCATCCACGCATTGTCCGTTTATTTGATGTTTTTGAAATTGATACTGACTCGTACGTAATTTCATTCTCTTATTTTAGTTTTGCCTTGCTAGTTACTCCATTGTCTTCATTTAGTTTTTGTACCGTACTTGAATATATTGAAGGCAATGATATTGATTTTTTCCTAAAACAACATAAACTAATACCAGAAAAAGAAGCACGTTCAATAATGATGCAAACTGTTAGTGCATTACGATATCTAAACACCGACATAAAGCCACCTGTGATACATTACGATCTGAAACCAGGTAGGGTACTTTACATTTGGACAAACCTTCTTTTGAAATTTGGCACCGATATTATATTGTTTATAATCGATCGCTATTTTTAAGCAAATATTTTACTCGGAACTGGCACAAGTAGTGGTGAAATCAAAATAACAGATTTTGGACTTAGTAAACAAATGACTGAAGAAACATACGATCCCGAACATGGTATGGAATTGACGTCACAAGGTGCTGGAACATACTGGTATTTACCTCCAGAAGTTTTTGTGACTAGTGGGCCTAATCCACCAAAAATATCGTCAAAAGTTGATGTATGGAGTCTTGGATGTATTTTTTATCAATGTTTATACGGTAAGTTAAAAGGAACAATTGTAATAGAAAATTCAGTTTTCACTCTTTTGATTTGAAGGTAAGAAACCGTATGGTCATAATATGTCACAAGCAGCTATATTAGAACATCAAACAATTTTAAATGCCAAAGAAGTTCAATTCCCTGCACGACCGCAAGTATCGAATGAGGCAAAGGTACGTATCATATTTAATTTTTCATCTGTAGCACGTCTTCTATCTACTATAATGATGTACGAGATTCAACTTAGTCGCAAATATTATAAGTTTATTTACAGAAACTGTTCAAATTTTATTTTTAGTTATTTATTCGTCGTTGTCTAACGTACAATGCACGAGATAGACCAGATGTTATTCAATTAGCCGAAGATGAATATCTTCGTTCATATCCGAAACGATCAGCAACAAATTCATTAGCAAGAACGGGTCAATTATCGATTAATGACAGTAGTAACTAAACTCAAACAGATAAATAGAGAGAAAATAGAAATAATTTTGTTATATTTTCATAGTCGCACAACACTTCTATTTTTCTTAAACAGAGAGAAAATAAACTCAACATACATGTGCGCTATGACTTTCTCTTGTCTTTTTTTATTGTTTCTCGTGTTTATCTTCGACGTATAAATATTTGTACATGTCATCAAAGTGAAACTTATTCTGTTCTGTTGTGTTTGTTTTATTATTAATTCTCCTCTTTTTTTTATTTCTCTCTTATGAATTTGTTTTTCTTCTTTTCTGTATGAATCAACACACACTAAAACACTTGTTTCTATCTGGCATACGAAGAAGGGTCACTCTTTTTTATTCTTATCATGGTTATTTGATTACGAGTTTTTTAGACCATACGAAAAGTTGTTTTTTATTCTTCTCTTCGTTTCCACTCTATTTTTGTTCTTTGTATTACGTGTACAGATGAATGAACGTTAGTGATCCTATTCTCTACGTGTCCCATCCCAACAAATATTTGATATCAGCACATACAAATAGAAAACAAAAGCGTCCACTCAATGAACGTGTTTATATACTTAGCATTTCCAAGTAATTTATTTCCATTCATAAAGTCACAATTCCATTTTCAGGCAATGACAACGATTTTTCGTCTGTTACTCGTACGGAAGTTGTTTTTGCTTTCATCGATAATATACACACACACTCACACACACACATACACACACACTCACACACACACACACATACATTCAACTGTTTTTTTGCTTTTTTTAACTTAGTGTCTATGGAAACTTGTATCATCTATATTGTTTTTGTTGAAAAATTAGAACGACTTCGCTTATAAACCAATGATGCATATCACAACAAACACATTATATGCATATATCTTTATTTTAATTTTTTTTGCTCTTCTAATGTGTCATACATAATTACTCAAATTACGTACGCTTCTTGTTTTTTTCAAATAAAAAAATGAATAGTAGCAGTATTCAAGTTTTATTTATTTACAACATTGCCATAGACAATAAAGCAACATAGTTCAGTTATCTGATCGGTTATATCATTGCTCTCACATACGCATGTTCGAAACTCACAATTGTACGCTGTTGTCGATGATGAACAAGTTATCCCTGTCTGAAAAATAGTGTTGTCGGTTTATAGTACTGAGACAATTGCGACAATTAATATAATATGAGAACAAAAAAAAAATATATGTGTATGTTTTTGTGTGGTTTAATTTAGCATGTTCATTCGAAAAATAATCGTGTGTATAACGCTTAATACTCACACAGAATTGTTCTACAACTATGTCGTTCTTAGAATGGTCAAGTTCACAATTAATAGATTGTCTATGTATTAGTAAGACATATTTCCACAAATATCAACAGATTTAGCTTACCTGTTCTTTCAAGTGAAGTTTGTATCGTTTGGGATAGAATGGGAGTTGACGAGAAAACATCGGAAGAAATATATATATATATATTAAATCAGTCATCGATATAGACCAGTCGTCAACAAGAAATAATTACTAACTGGAATCATTCCAGTGAAATAGTGATTTGAATATTTTAGTTATCGAAAAATGGTATGTATTTGTGCTAAGAAAATAATGGATGCATATAAGAGCATATGGTTTTTGGAGGTATTCAAATCTTCTGGTTACATTCAGATGGGATTTGGACAAAATATAGAAGAACATAACGGGTGGCCCAGAGGAAATTGCAGCCTTAATATTTTTATTTTTCTTCTTTCTCTTAGATTATAGACTGTTCATTTTTTTTACCAAATGATTCTGCATTCATTTCCCTACAAAATGGTATATAGAAGATGATCCTGACATTTGTGATGCTGTCTTAATTGAACAAAAATCGAAATGTTCTAAAAACTTAAAAAATTTAACTCAAAAAAGTATGCTTCATCAGTATGAACTTGAACGTATGCATTGTATCCGTAGCATATAAGCCAAAACGTAGCCCTTGAAATTCTATATCGATTGGGTGTAATGTGGACTTTTTATCGTTATTTCTGTATTTTTAGTAATGTTTTTCGCAAAAGCCCTAAGACTGTTTATCAGCTTTTTCAGCCTGCATTTTGAGGCTATTTATAAAATAGACCAATTAGGCTAATTCTTGCATCATTCTTAGGACAAATATTTGATCTACGCGATTCACGTGCGAAACGTTTGATGTGACTTTTCTGAAAATAATCGAGATGTTAAAACTAGCACATTTTGTTCAATTATGTCTGCCGATTATTATCTGGATATTTTTACCACATCAGACCGATGGGGATGAACTGAGCCTTGCGTCATCTAAAAGACGACATCTGAATGTGCCAAGAAACGATCTAAAATCTTCTTCCTATCCCTTTCAAAATGAAATTCAAAATTGTCGTCGGAAAAAATCGATATTTTTTAAGTTTTTAGAACATTTCGATTTTTGTTCAATTAAGACAGCATCACAAATGTCAGGATCATCTTCTATATACTATTTTGTAGGGAAATGAATGCAGAACCATTTGGTAAAAAAAATGAACAGCCTATAATCTAAGTGAAAGAAGAAGAACAAAAAATATTAAGGCTGTAATTCGGGCCACCCGTTAGAAATGACTGCGATTATGCTGCGGTTGAATAATGATGAACCAATTTCTTATACTTATCCCTTATACCATATGGTATGAAGAGTGAGGGTTGGTGATCAATTAAATAATCCAAGTAAAACTCGGTTTGGCCTAGCAATAGTCTTAGAGATTTAGCACTTTTTCATAAACGCGCTGGTTTTCTTATGAGATAATTAATCGTCACATGACACTTCGCAGTGTTTACGGACTATAGACTACTCTGTTTGACACAGCGCAAGTGTATACAGTGTATACTAAGGTAAGTAATCGACCAGACAACTGTATCCTGTTCTATACATAGTATCTATACCGTGTAACTCAGTTGATCGTACAACCGCTCTGATTGAAATGCTTTTTAAAGTGATCAGTTCTGTTTTTTCTGTTAACAAAAACTTCAGTGTGTAGTACTACACGAAATAATTTTCGTAACCCATTTTTACATCATTTATCGGATTTGCCTTAATGAAATTCAGATTTCTTCGAAAATTATCTTTTATTACTGTCTATTTACTAATGCGTTTTGTCCTGTCGATTTTCTAAACCTTTCGAATGATACCTACAAATTCATTTATCACGTCATCGTTTTCCTTTCATTTCCTCTTGGCTCTACTCAGTTGCTACTTCTCCTAATTTCTTATGTTAAGAAGAAACTGGAGTCACCGACCTTTGTCTTCAATAAATGAATGTTTTATAGGTGGCCTGTGATTCAGCCGTCCATGTGAAATTCAGTAGGTTTGTCGTGTTCCAGCAAAAAAAGTTCTTTCTAGTGCTATTTAAGCCGACTGATGCGGGAACCTCCCCAAATGTTCTCTCGTTTTTTTAACGAAATGTAGTAGGTTATAGGTAATCGACCATGCTGGTTTCGAATATGATATTCATTTGGGCTCATAGGCCTTTCATAGTTGGTCACTTCAAAAAAAACCAAAACTTTTTCTAAATAATTGTAGCCCGCAAAATTCTGATCAAAATGAGATATCTCCCAGGTCTACACGACCTTTCTTTGCAAAGGTATAGAGTTTACCAGAAAAGTCCCAAATGTTCATTGTCGCCTCAGCGCTACAGAAAGAAAAAGGAAAAATGAATTTAGGGATTTCTTGTAAATTTTATAACTTTGCAAAGAAAGGTCATTTTGATCAAAATTTCGCATTTGGAACCGCAGAAGATTGGGAGAAAAACTAGTAGACAGTGCTTATACTGAATATGGCACATCCGAAATTATTTTTCTAATATCACTTTTAATTATCGCGTAATCGTTTCTGAGAAAATGGTGTTTGATATTTAGGACTTTTCTAATACAAAATAATTAGTACGTGACGTACAAAGCAATTAATATGTGACATAAAGAGAACTCTATCGTTTCTCCTATCAGATAATTAATCTTCAAGTGATATCCTTCTAAATATATACTATAGTGCTTATAGATATGATGAAAGCTACTGCAGAATGTATGATAGGATAATAAATCAGCTGATACGATAATGTGAATAATATGCTGCAGAAGATAAATGTAGGTGAATAAAATTCCAAACATATTTTTGTTGCCAAAGGAGAAAATACTATTCAAATATATAAATAAATAATATTCTTTCATTGAGAGATTTCCGGTTGAAATTAAATATCTACGTAACTTATGTCACAGCTGGAAGCTAGCCGGTTCCAGAAATGTTTCAATCGGCTGCCAATCTTCGCAGTGCGCCGATGGCAGCTAGTTTATTTCTCGAGTTAGTTGCTCATTTCTAGTTATTTCTGGTTGTACAGATTTGAAAAAAAGATCATTCAATCTTGAACAAAGACGTAATCTTTAATTAATAAGGCTCTTTTTCTGTATATGTGATTCATAATTTATGTGCAGAAGAAATGGTGATTCGTTTTTCTTATCACATAGCTTTTTCAAGCCATTAATGTATGTAAGTTCTACACTACACTAGTTACAGATATTTTTGTACATCTTCAACATTGATTCAATTGTACAACTTTGTACAATATCATAGGATTTAACAATAATTAAAATTTTCAAAAATAATAAAATTTGGGAAATTGATAGGATGAATAGCCAACCAAAATTGGAACAGCTGCAGGAAACTGATAAAATTCGATGAATTCAGACAGATTTTTGATCTAGTTGGTTTTGTAAGAACAAGAACTTGGCAAAAAATTTTAGTTCAGTTCTGATCAGTACATACATGATCAGCTGCATTTATAGTGCACATAACCTTCACATGTTATCATACAGTGTCCTGTTGTTTGGCATCATAGATCTTTTCAGATCATAACTCAAGTAATGAATGAAATTTTTGACAATGCAAAAACAATTCTTATTGTATGGTTTGAGTCCGCTAAACCAGAAAGTTTATTACCATTCAAACAAACGATACAGTTAAAAGCGAAAGAAGCGAATATTTCATTCGAAAATGCTCATATGCTCAATGAGTGTAAATGACAGCGAATAAATCTTAATTCTCTGCTCAAACTGTGCTTTTGTCCTTTCTAGCCAAATGACAATCATCGTCATCTGACATTGTCATTTATGGTTTAACCAATGAAAAAGATTTATGGCCGTCCATTGAACTTTTAAATGATTTATTTCGTGTATTAAAACCGAATGGTTATATAATAACACACATATCACAAGATAAACAATCGAGCGCACTTGATCGTTTTAAAATGTGTGGCTTTGTTAATTGTAGTATACTCAATAATAATGGTGCATTCTTAATGCAACAAAACGACAATAGTATGAACCGAATCGATTTATTATGGTTGTCAAAAACCATCGTTTGATGTTGGATACTCTGTACCATTGAAAAACAACACTAAACAACAACTATCTTCATCAAAACCGAATAATGTGTGGAAAATAAGTGCAGATGGAGATTATAATGATGATGATTTAATTGATACAGACGCGCTATTAGACGAAGAAGATAGAAAAAAGCCAGACACTAAAAGTATGGTCATTGTTATTTTTATGTGTATTTGTTGTTCAGAGAATGATTGCTATAATTAGCATTAGATGACCCCTGTATTTCAAGTTGAAAAGATCTATTCAAAACTAACATTTTGTAAATTTAGCTTATGATTGTGGCACAGCATCAAAAAGTATTCGTAAGGCTTGTAAAAATTGTACATGTGGTTTGGCACAAGAACTTGAAAAAAATGAATATGATAGCGCAGCAAAAAATATGAAATCATCATGTGGAAGCTTAAGTTTTTCCGTATAGTAACTTAATTGACCTACACTTTGAGTTAGGTTTTTATTTTTAGTGTTACTTGGGTGATGCATTTCGTTGTGCTGGTTGTCCTTATCGCGGATTACCGCCATTTAAACCTGGTGAAAGAATTAATATTCCAGCAATGTCCGATGTTTAATACTCATTTGGTAAATAGATATGTTTATTATTTCTACTTTTATATACTATGTACCGTTTGACTTCTTTTATGATATCATTTCTGAAAATTTATTACGTTCGTTATAAAAAAATGTCTAAAATTTTGTGTACTGATAAGAGAATGAAAATAAATTGTTTTATTTATAGCACAGCCATGTTTTATTACATATTTGTCGAATCCTATTATCAATTGTGACAAGTCTTTTATTGCCGAATTGTTAAATAAATCAAGTTTAAACTGTGACCATTATCTTCTCGTGATAATTGACGTAAATACACAAGAAAAATTGTTAACTGATGTTAAAAGAGATTCCAAAAACGAACTGTTATAAGTTAAACCTGACGTTTATGGAAAAGGCAATGCACTCAGATATTAGGTCGAGTAAGTAGACATTGAGTCCTTTAAAAAGCACACACAATGATGGTTATAAAAAAATCACAAACGAAATTTGTGTAGATAAGCTAATTTTCTTTTTATTTCCATTGACTATTGAGTGCAATGAATGAATCAAACTATTAACAGTTTTAATCAAATAATTGACTTAAACAGTTTACTTTTTCATGTTGTATAATTATAATTTTTTGTTGTGTGTTTCGAACTAAAGCCTGCTACTCATTCTATCTGTGCGCATTAATGAAGGTAAGTGTAAATATATGTCTGGAGGAGATATTAGTGGACGTCTATCCAGTCTTCACTACAGCAATATTAACAGTTTCTCATAGAATCTTTATGCTTTCGGTTCTGTTTTCAAACCGTGTGTTCTGTGTTATAAAAAATATGTAAATATTAAAGTGTATTTTTTACAATGTTTTCAAACGCGTTGAGTATCACTACATAAACTAAAGAAAAGGAAACTATTCATGAGAAGTCCGAATCTATCTACATCAAAGATCGAATCGACTCGGATCTGTGCCAAATGAAATAGATTTTCGCCTTTTTCTGGGTCTGGTAAATGTTACGAGTTTACCCTGGAAAAAATACAACTTTTTGACATTTTCTTTGTTTTTTCTTATCCACTTCTTTTTCATAAACTATAATTTTCGATGGGGTCAAAAAATCTTTCGTTCAGACCAAGCTCATGATTCGATTTGATCTCTGATATACATTCGCAATATATTCTTTTGCTCAAGTATCGCGAGATACTTTGGCAACGCCAATAGTAGTCTCTAGTAGATCGAATAGATTAAAAAAAGATCTATAGTTATCAGTGAATATCTGTGCTGATAATGATGATCAACCGTATGCGGTTGATGAGGATCTGAGAGGTAGAAATCTGGCTAAGGCTATCATTTACATTTCAACAATAAATACTACTACCGTTAGAGCAGACTCTGATTGAGAAATCTTATTGCTATTAAAATGTAAGTTCACTTTAAATTAATGTTCAATCATGCCACGCCAATACCATAATAAATGTGTTCTTCATTAAGTTTTAGCTAAAGAAAAACAAATTCATGCAAACAATCTACCAGCTGTAAAAGCTATTTTGAGTGTTTTGACAACATCGACGAGAAAATAAACCACAGCAACAAGAAATGTATGAATAATCTGTAATACTTCCTTGATAGGTAACAAATTCGATCCTGACGCGTCGTCATAACGCAAAATCTATTGCATTTATCAAACCCTCTTAATCGTGCTGAGGACGCAACACAATATATTTTGCGTCAAAATGTAACAGAATCCTTTTAGTGATTAAAGTTTTAATTATGTTTTTCTTTTTCTGGTCAATTCTAATCTTCACCTCACTACTCTATTAGACACCGATATTGCATCTCATTACTAGTCCTGTGAAGCGCTACTCCCTATATGGATAGGAAGAACTATGAAAAATTTTGAAGACAAGAAGCCGAGACACAACATGTCGATTGTCTACACAGCTGTTTTCAACTAATATACACTTTTTTGCCCTAGTTTTAGGTCTAATTGACTCTGACTTTTAGAGTCTATTTTTTTCTTCTATTATATGTAGTCGATAAACAATCGACGTTCAGTCTAACACAGTTTTCGATAGATACATTGAGATAAATCATGCAATATATAATTTTGTAGCAGCTAAAAATGATACAAAAAAGACATTTCAGACACACAGTATATGTCATTCAAAGCCCAGAGTTACATTTGGATATATTTTCTCGTACGTCTGATATAAAGAACCTTCGATATTAAAGAGCGAATTTAGTAGCAGCGATACTAAAATAACTATAAAACGATGAATTATCGCTCCTAGATGATGTAATTATTCCTGTTAAATGTCACAGGATTAGAAGAACATTTATTCGTACTGGTATAATGTTTAGCGATTTTGATGTTAAACACAAAAAACTGCCGGAAATTGTAACGTGTCGTAATACAATATTCAGTTTTAACAATGCCTAATAGTATCATTGCCTGAAATAAGTTAAAATTCTATTAAAACAGTCCTTTATTGAGTTGTAGTGTAGCAGCATCTGAAAGGAGGGGATTTCTATCGGAAAACGGCCCCCGCTGTTTTTAATTAATTTGTACCGGTGGTAATAGCTGATCATATTCACATATATTTCAACATGTTACTTATGGTTCCTGCTTTCTTGTAGCCTGAGAAAAAAATCATGTAACCT